CCTACTCCCCCATACTCGTGATTTATAGGTTTCCCTAAAATACATCAAACTGAAAAACTGTAAAACATTTTGAGAAAGGAAATTGTTACCTCAAGTCTAAATATACTATACTACTATACAGAAATACATACCAAAAAAGTTTGTATTTAAATGGACAAACTTACAAAAATGCTGTATTTATTTACAGCGTATACTTTTTACCATTAATATGCTGCCATATTCTTCCTTTAAAATGTATTTAGGCTAATGGCATTTATGGCAAGCAAATAATCCTAACAGCAACTGAATTTTTCATCAGGAGAACAAATACACAGTCTAAAAATTCCACATTGTTCTTACATAAATGTTTCTGCCACTTTTCTAAGCAATACATAGTAATACTTTTGTTCCCAAGAACACTAAATGTATGTGTATGTATAGATACTCTCTATAACATGCACTGTTGCACTATATCACTTTTTAAATGCACATGCTTTAAATATTTTTCTGAGTCCAGTATACTGAATTTTTCTGATTAGAAACACCCAAAGTTTTCAACTAAAAACATGTTGCCAATAGTCGCCCAGAGCAAGATTTTACAACCAAATTATAAAAGCCCTAAATCTCAAGTTTTATAAGACCATCAGTGACACAGTCTTAACTGTAGCGACGAGACAGGCGCCGCTATAATGTTAACAGCCAGTATGTAAACGTTAATGCAGCCTAAGGGGGGAGCAGGGGGCAATCCCAGAAGGGTCCCTTCAGAACTGCCACAGAACTTTTAGGTGGCTGTAGTCAAAAATTTCTTTGGCTTAATTACTTACAAAGGGGGGTGGGGGGTAGTTAGCCAGGTAAGACAATTAATTTCATTAAAACTGTAATTGTGCTCCTTCGTAAAGCTTTATAGTTCTTGAAACTCACTAATACATTATTTTTTGAACAAGAGCCCAACAAACTGAAGTTTGACATCTAGCTATTAGAAAAACACAACTTAAATTGTTTTGAAACATCAGCACATTTACAAAACACTGAAGAGAACATGGTTCTTTTCCTTGAGAGTAATCACAGAGGTGTTAAACACAGGCTCTTCACTGAGCTATCAGACTTCTTTGTCATAGAAATCAGTAAGGTACAACCAATCTAATCAGATTTCCAGGCTTCAGCCAAGCCTCAAATCACATTTCAACAGCTTCATTCACAACAATTATAACAAGTACCTTCAGTTACTTCCTTGCCTTCTAACAGTCTTGGTGCTTCTAGAACAAGCTAGTACCATGTCTTTCAGTCTAATCCACATACCTTCTCCTCTACTATATGCTCAATTCCTGTTGATAACATTTAATAGATGTTGGAAAAAAAATGACAGGAGACTGTAAATTGGCATAACAAACAGAAACCAAAAGCAAAATATTCATTTTTCAAAATTACAAAGAAATAAAATTGCTTCTTATCAACAGTTTGAAACAACACCTATAGAAGTAAACAAGGAGCACACCAGTAAAACAACTCCATACAAAGGTTAATAAAATAAATGTAATGATTTCCTAAGGAAGCTTAATGAAATTAATGTAACAGAGTCATATCTCTATTTTTGAGGAGACATTAACACAACTTTTAACATCTAACACTACAAAACTAAATTCTGTGACAAAGGAATTGCACATTTTTCTTTAATAGAAGACGTAAAAAAGGTGAAACTGTAAAGAAAATTATATTCTTTTAAATACACTTGTGCAAGCACACCTTGAAGCTTACTTACTATCATAGTTATTACGACAATATATATATAAAGACTAATTAAAACATTGACATCACAGCCAAATAATCAAAAGGAATTAGAAAAACGTACATTCTAATGAATTGTGTACATTTATCCAGGAAAAGGGAGTACTTTCCTTATTTGCAAGAACATTTTCTTTGCATGTGAAAACACATAACACACCAGTAACACCAACAATATTTTTTGTTTCATTTCTCATTTTTCAACATCTCTGCCAGAGGCATAAACACAGAGAAAAGAAATAAAATGGCAGGACTAACACTAACAACTATTAAAAAGATCTGTACTGTATAAGACAATGTACAGTCAAAATCAGCAGAAATTTAATTCTGCCCTCTTAGCACTTCTCAGAGCACCAAACGTATACCAGCTATGCGGCTAACAGATGTCAGATTGTCATTTATAAACTCTGCACTGGCCAGTAAGGATGCGTCCTCCTAATCCTAACAGGCAACTCGCACTGCTTGAGTACCAGAAAAAGGCAAAAATTCTGAGTTACTCCTACAGGAGTAAGGGACTAGAGGCATAGAATATGAATCTGCACATTACAAACACATAATCTCCATGTTTATGTATCTACATTCAATTATTATCTAAGAAATAATTCTTATCAAAACATTACTTAATCATAATAATGTGACTAGTTCTCGTCCAGTAATCTCACAGAACTTTTATAGGTACATATACAAAAAAGTTTACAAGTGTGTTTATTCCTTGGCCCCTTCCACAGATCCTAATAAAACAGTCTTCATAGGCAAGATAACCATATTTTATAATCAACAAATAGAATACACATGGACACACTAACGTGCAATCTTTATCTTTATAGAAATGTAGAGGCATAATATAATGCAGATAACTTCCTGAGTTTGTTTGAAGTCTCTGTGCAATGTCACCTCCCCTTCTCATTGCCAGTGCTATGCAAATTTGCAATTACGTATTACAGATACAAACTATAATCAAACTAGTTCTGTAACACATTAGAAAATGTGCCCCTCCTCAGCATTATAATGCACCTAGACACACCATCCATGTCTTTTTCCCATTCTTCCATAAGAATTATAATATACACAAGGCTGGCACACATGAACAGCAACACTTGGAAGAAAATCTAATTTACAAGCCTGCTGTTCCCAAGTTCAGGACTGACGGGGATGCTGTGCAAGCAAATGCCAGTGAGGTACTTAAAATAGGGTATCCACTTGGGAAGAGATTAAGTGATTAAGTTTGATGTTGCTGCCAGCTGCTAGTAGCAATTTGAAGGGCTAGAGATATGTTTATGAACTCAAATCAGAACTTTTTCCCACCTCCCCGATTTTTCAATATAATTTGTTGTAAGCTACTCAGGAGACGACTGAAAATGCCACTATGTCTCCACACCAAATGTCTGTTTCCTAAGAGACAAGTCTATTAAAGTTTGATTTTGCCTGTAACAGAAGCTAACAAGCAAAGAGATGTGAAATCTAAAAGTCATATTTCACTAAGTCTGTCAGCAGTAGAATTTCACACATTATACATAGTTACCATCTTATAACATACCAAACAACTTCATATTTTAAAAAAACTAAACTTTCAACTACCTTTGGATGCCATTTAACAATTTTTTTTCATTAATAACAATGACCCCACATTTTCAGCTGTGCGTGTTATATTGCAATACCAATACCTTTTTACATTTTATCTGATGTAATATAACCTGAACTTTTTAGGCAAAATACCTTAGGTCACACATTTTGGATTCTGACAGAAAGGAGAGTAACCTTCCAGGAACTAAGTATTTCAGCATTATTCATTACATACAAGCTGTACCAACCTACTTCTGTCATTTTCACACATCTCTTTCAACTTTTATTTCTTTCAAATTTCAGATGCTAAATAGGAGCCTGCTAATGTGTCAAAGCTTTCATACATTGCCACTAAGACTTTTAGAAATCCCTTTTTGACATAAAATTTGTTTGCCTACTCTTTTTGCTACACTTAAGCTTAGCTTTGCAAGTTTTTCAAAGTTGTTCCACTGTTACACAAAAACCTTGTACAGGTTTGTGCTCACAAGCGGTTTCAACTCTTGACTCACAGATACTCTGAAAGCTACAAGAAACTCACAGATGGACAACCAGCCTGACCTCTTCCCCTTTAATGCTATCTAGACATATTAGAAGTCTGACACACAAAATCCTCACATTGTAACAGGTCTGTATGAAAAGCTGAGCTAGTGCTGTCACTGATCAAAGAGAAAAAATGCATTTGTTCTCACCACAAAACAAAACACGGATGCCAATGGCAGTGCTGGAGTCTAAGTAACTAGACAAAGTTCTACCAAAATTTACCCACCCTCTTAGGAAGTAATTGCAGTGCAATAAGATGAAGATCAGTCAGCTAGAAAGGACATTAAAAGATAATTAACCTATTTAGTAAATTTATTACAACTATTTTCTCTATTGTTACATTAAAGTGATTTAGAAGTGCTCCCACCTTTCCAGAACTTCTTACACATCCTCAACCTTTAAAAACAATGGATAATGCATTCTTTTAAAAGGACAGAACTTTGACAATCTTACCTAAAGCTTGGCTTGGGCTTTGCTTACTCCATGACTGAAGTTTAGGAATGGGGCCTGGCAGTCAGTCAACAACATGGTGTATACATATTTGTAGTTATTTTGAAATGACTGCTTAAGGAAGTTTCACATATTCATAGTAACCAAAAATGTGTTCACATCACCTCTACTACTAAAACCCCCTCATCTTAAAGAGTAATCCCTTACATCACCCTTTTGTCACCTTCTCTACTTTGAATAAAACCTACTAACTAGATGACTAAAGTATCTCACTCCATATTAAAGTAATTAAGCATTATAACTTTCACTATCGACACAAGCTACCAACATAAGTTGAACTTCAAAACATTAAAATCTTACAACACAGGATTTCACCTGCCACCTTTCATGGCCACACTACAAGTGGCAGCTTTCAGCTATCCTTGGAGTTTCATCAGGCAATCCTAAGCAAGCCAATTACATATTAAAAAAGAAAAAGAAACCACAACAAGAAACTGAATGTTTGTAAAGTGTTTTTTTACTGTAACTTTCTGGATTTAAATCTAAGGTTGCAAAAGACACCATTTCAAATTAACCACATTTCCAACATTCTGAAACAAAACCACCAAATTGTCAAATGTCAACCATCAGATGACCAAAACAACAAATACTATATAAAACTAAAAATCCATAAACACAAACCATACCTGCTTTTCCTTTCAATGAGAATAGCCATATAAGAAGCAGGTAATGCAGCACCAAAGCCAGGAGACCAAAAGTAGAATTTTCCAAGTATCCTCCTGAAAATGTAATTTGTACACATATTACATGCAAAGCAACTGAAACATTCATGTACCATATTTTACCTTTATCATAAAATTATGCACACTTTATTAAGACTAATGTTGTCCCTTTACATTAATCAACACTTACAAATAAATATTAATCATTATATTTTTACAGTTGGATAGTCCTCAGACAGGTTCCTGAAGTGCTTCATAAACATTAAATGAAATACTTCATTAACATATCCATGTCATTTAAAGGATTTCTTTGAAGCAAAGTAAGCAGTGCTTTCAAGACATGTTTCTGAAAAGTTGGAGATATTAATTACAGAAAAATCTTCTGAAAGAACTTATAGTTGCTCCTCGCTCTGCTACTTGCCCAAGTGCATGTTCAGGAAGATGTGCCTTGTGGAATGTAGGGATGCAATCAGGTGAGCCAGAAATCAAACCAAATTATTACAATATAAATCACACTCCAAAGAGATAGTAAACTGATGCTAAAAACAGTAAACCACTCATTTACAGTAAGCCAAGGAATCAATCTGTACATTACAACTGGAAGCAACAGTGACATCCCAGTTCTATTAAGGTCAGAAAGCTATCATTTTTTGCAACAAGATCCGGATTTCACTTAAGGAGTCCACACAATTTCAGCTATCAAAATTCCTCCAACAATAGGAGTTGAAAAAAATAGTTACACAAACGACAACATCTAAGAAAATATTTCTATTTATTGGTCACCGTTAAAGGAGGAAAACCAAAATGCATGTCAGACACAATGTCACCAACCATATTTGGTCTGTTCAGGACACCTGCACCTTCAAACTAATCCAGGCTGATCACAGAAGCAAACAATAGTCAGTCAGTCATGAAATTTGGTAGCATGATAATAAACATACTTCAATTACACCAACATTGCTCAGCTGATAAGCACTATCAGTTCAGGAAAACACAGTGTTACAATGGAGCCTACCCTTCCAAAAACATAGTGAACAAAATACAACAAACAAAATGGCAAACACATACAGGGTAGAAAAGGAAATTTTCTTAGATAACATTTCATGTTGACAACACAGAAAAGAAAGATAATTAATCAATACTATCTGATCAGCCCACTTTCTTTCTTGCTGTAAGAGGCATGATTAGCCTCGTTGCATACTTCTCCTGCAAAAATAACATTACCAGTGAGCAATGCCAGCTTATGCTCGTAAGTGAAAAGAGAGCCAGTGTATCAGCAGCAAGTGATGTAATGGCAATTACACACACTGTTCATTCCCACAGCTGCAAAAGGATAATTTCTCAGGATGATAATGCCAAATGCTGCAAGAGCTAGAGTTCATTATTAGGACTCTCTTGGAAAGCAATTACTGTATGAAGTTTCAGAGAAGCCATTTTAAACATCTTAATAAGTATGAACACATCTTACCAGACACACCTGTTAAGTAACAGAACAAATGTCTTTTCTGTGGGAAAGAAACAGGAATTTGTTCTTTTGGCATGGTTTAGAATTCCTCTACGAATGCTTACATGTTTGGTTTGATAAGATTTCGGAAACAACATGTTTTACATAATAAAACTAGTGGAAATTAAAATGTCTGATCAGTGAAACATTTAAACTTCTGCTAAAGTAAATGAAACCAAGTTTTTGTTATTATTTGCATGGTTATTTTCATATGGTCTATGGTTAGAAATTGGAACAAGAAATAGGAGTTCTTTCAGGTTATGCATCTAATTCCTCAATGTACAACTGTATCCAAAACTCAGAGGCTGGTTGGTACATAAGGTTGAATATAATTAAGCAAGCTAATGTAAAGCTATACATAGACAAACTTAATTACTGTAGTTGCTAGACTAAGAGAACCATGTCTTCATGAGGTTTTCTATTTAATAAAACTGAAAACCTAAAAATCACACCTTTCATTTAACAGATGTAATGCTTGTCAACACTGCAGCCTAGCACTTCGTCTGAAGCCCAGACAGACATAGTCTTCTGGATCTCACCAGTGGAAGAGATTACAGCTGGCCTGTCACACATCCGTAATGGAGATCATCACCCCCACTGCTCTGCCAACAGAGCAGTCTGTACGTAATCCCTAATTCACTTCAAGAAAAAAAGGAGGGGGAAAAAAAAAAAAAAGTCAGCCAAGTTAGCTTGGTAATCCTTTCTAGAATAAGAACACCTATCCACAGCCTAAGTCAATGCTGATACTGGATTCAGGTGGTTTTGAAATTTTGCCCCGCTATGAAATGGTAAGAATACTAAACAATGCCTGAAATTGTTTTAATTGCACTTTCTTGCCTGAAGTTTTACATCCTTGAAAATATTTGCAGCGGTTTCAATTTTGGTGGTTTTCCCTAGCTGAAAGGAAACAAACACAACAAGAGCATCAAAAAGACTTATTAGCATAAGCCAGACTTCTCACCAACAATTACATTTCACGTTTAGGTCTTTTAATTGTTACTGGATGACTAAGATGTATTTTTGGTATACACAGTGACTGAAGATTCACTGGAACTTTAGTAAAGGTATAAACAGATGAAGCGGTCACTTTATCCAAGACACCCTATATGCCTGCCAACACATCTCCTTGGTGCTAACAAAAGAAGGAAACAGGCAAGTCTTCTCAAATCAGGAATTGTGCAGGTAAATATGTGTCCTGGTTTCAGCTGGGATATAGTTAACTGTCTTCCTAGTAGCTGGTACAGTGCTATGTTTTGAGTTCAGTATGTGAAGAATGTTGATAACACTGATGTTTTCAGTTGTTGCTCAGTAGTGTTTAGACTAGAGTCAAGGATTTTTCAGCTTCTCATGCCCAGCCAGGGCACCTGACCCAAACTGGCCAACAGGGTATTCCATGTCACAGGACGTCCCATCTAGTTTAGGAACTGGGAAGTGGGGGGGGCAGGGTTTTGCCGCTCAGGGACTGGCTGGGTGTCGGTCAGCGGGTGGTGAGCAATTGCCCTGCGCATCATTTGTACATTTCAATCCTTTTATTACTACTGTTGTCATTTTATTAGTGTTATCATTATCATTATTAGTTTCTTCTTTTCTGTTCTATTAAATCGTTCTTATCTCAACCCAGGAGTTTTACTTCTTTTCCTGATTTTCTCCCCCCTCCCACTGGATGGGGGGGGAGTGAGTGAGCGGCTGCATGGTGCTTAGTTGCTGGCTGGGGTTAAACCACGACAATATAAGTTAACATGTCCAACTACAAACCCTTTAATCTGTTGCTTTGGTCTAGAACTCCAGGAGGGTAAGATCAGTCAACCGCATGGGGCTTGCTGGACAATTTCACTTCTGAGTTACTGCTGCTCCCACTACAATATACTTTCCAACCAAAAAAGATACAAAAACTGCAGCGTGCATCCTATTATACCACTCTATCGCATCCAATCTCTCACCACTATCTAGAATCAGACCTAGAGCATCTAGGTCTCCACAGTCGCAGACAATCTCTTTGCGTGGTTGCAAATCAAGTTCAGAAATACTCAGGCCACAGTTATGCAGAACACCATAGAGGTACTGATATTTCTTCAATGGATTAAAACATACAATACCAAATCACACTCTGGGCTGGAAAATGACATACAATTTCTTTTGCTCTCAGGGGCTACTGAAGGAAGTACACTGTATCACACAGCAATAAATTCAAGGAATCATACAAGTTCAAACAAAACATTAAAAAAACAAATATAAAAAACAAACATACAAATTGTTTGTTTTTTTTTTAAAAAAAAAGTGAAGTCTCACATTTCCATTCTCTGTCACCCACCCAACAGCAGATGAGAGAAGCAAGTTTATACGGCTCAAGCTGCAAGAGAATGTTGATATTAAGTACATTCCAAGTGAAGGACTTGTCAACATTATGATCTTAGGAGAAGCTCTTAAAAAAAAATAAATCTCTTACCTGCTTCATTTACTAGCACAGGCATAATCATAGATCTGCTAGATGGCTAATAGCCTCTGTTAGAGGAACAGCTGAAAACATTAAAAACTACACCAGTTTAATTTAGAGAGTAACTACAGCACTGAAGTGAGACACTGCAGATTTACAGGCAAGTACATGGCAGGATAAGGAAGACCACTGTATAGCTGAGAGGAGTAAAGATAAATCAATATTTATACAACTCAGATTGCTAGAAAAATTCATATTCTTTAGAGCTCATTACTTAAACATTCACTTTGAACTTTGCAAATGATATACTTAAAAAGTGTTCCATGGTTCCTCATCCAGCTCCTCCTCTTCTTAGCCTTCTCCCTCAGCTTTGAAGCAAAATTTAGAGGCCTCTAAACAGATCTAGAAGTAGGGCATAATGGGTTTGATTAACTTTTGGAGGAGCTGTTGAGTGCACTGTCAGATAACTTCCAAAAATTCATAGCTACTGTAGGCTTTACATGTCTACGTATAACATCTCTTACAATAAATGCATTTAGATCTAGGACATCTTCATATTCATAAACAGGAAAGTTTAATTTTTAACTATCCTGACAGTTATTTGATATATACACTGGAAAGAGCTCAGAATACAGAAGTGCCATTTATACTCATTTTTCAGAGCAAGCTTGTATCTTACAGAACCTGGGAAGCTGTGCTGGGATTTCCTTCATTTATGACCACAAATAAGGGAAGTACAAACTTGGATGGCTGGATAAAGTTTAGCATAATTAAAAGTCATCATAGCCCCTGCATCAAGGAAATAGAAACCCACACCAAATTACATCAATTCCTTCTAGGAGAGAATGATTAGGCTTTCTCGGTTCCCCTCTAGAATATATTTGAGTTTCCCCACAACAATGTATTTTGAACCAGTAAAACAGAGAAAAGGAAGCAAAGTGAATACATTGACTTGTTTACTGATTTTAAAAAAATCACAGAAATGAGAAAAAAAAAAACCACACAAAGGTTCATATTCAAGTAGTAAGACCAGAAATCAAGATGATGACACAGCTGTTGCTTTCTTAATCTGACCCATTACAAACAAGCCTATTATTAAAAAAGACAAATTATTATATTAATTGAAAAGTTGCATAAAAATAGCTTTCCTATTACATTTCATTTTTAGGACAGTATACCAACCTTAGAATGCAAAAGCAAGCAATATACAAGGTCCCATTTGCTGTCAGAAAGGAAGTTGATTGCAAGATCTCAGGTAGCAGTTTGTGCAAATAATAGTCAAGTTTTCGTTTCCTGAGAATAGCTGCAATCTGAGGGAGGAGGGAAGAAAAAAAAAAAGCAGGGGACAAATTTTAATTCAGTTAGGCTCCTTTTTGCACATTGTAAAGAAAAATGAAAAAGGAAAACAAGACATGCCGATTTAAGTAGTAAATCAAAGCCTCTTAAATTTGCTGGGTTTATGAACAATACCACAAAGATTTCCTTTGAACTTGTTCTAGTTGTTACAATATTTATACCAGGAAATACATCAAGCAATCCTAAATGGGAAGTATAGGACGAATTTTATTACCTTGTTACCATTGGCCATAATAGTCAGAAACCTTGTCTGCCAGATATCAGAACTTTTAAGATGTGATAAATTTACACTGAGTTTTGTCTTCCAGACAATTAGACTATCACATAATTAAGGTCAGAATATCACAAAAGTAATCGAAATACAGGCCTTACACAGTGTCTATGAAGTGATGACGTATTTCTAAAGGTTTTCTACTCCAATTAACCAACTGCAAGTCCTCCAAAAAATGTTCACCATCTGCTGGAAGAACAACACATTCCTGACAAATTTTATAGAAATAGTATGTTATCTCTAAAAAACCGCCTATAGCAGAAAACAAGCTGGATCTAAAAAATAAATGTTCTTTTTGGTCAGTTTAATGTATGTCCCATGTTTTATAAAGAACAGTTACTTAATGACTCAAACACTGAAGGTCCTCAAACTCTTTTTTGTCCACAGAAATTCTGCAACTATCTAATAGGAAGGCATAAACAACCAGGCTCTTCTCAGACGTTCACTGGGTAAGGCAAGAGGCAACAAGACAAATTCAAGTATGAGAAGGTCAGATTAAACCTAAGGAAGAAAAAATTTCACTTGAGGGTGGCTGAATATTGGAGCAGGTTGCCCAAAGCGATTGTGGACTCTCCATCACTGCAGATCCTCAAAACTCAACTAGAAAAGGCCCCAAGCAAGCTCATCCAACCGGCCCTGCTTTGAGCAGGACGTTGGGACCACACACCCTTCTGAGGTCCCTCCAACCTGCGCGCTCCTATGATTCCATGAAATTATACTTTGGGTGCACCACAAGACAGATTTTATTGTTTTTTCTTTTTATTAGCATTATCATCTTTATCTGCACTGATCTTCCAGGGAGTCTCAAAACTGGCACAAGTTTTCGGTCAATGCTTAGAATTAGAGAAGTTCCAAACAGAGTGAGCTACATCCTGCTGGTGCTGATGAGAACAACAGAAGATGTCCTGTTGAATAGGTATTGGCAACACCTCTCAAAGTCTCGGTTCCTCAACTTAAAAACATGGGAGAGGAATCTGTTCTTCTGAAACTGTCCACTCATACTGAATAGCAAGTAGATGTTTTAGATGCAGAGATGGGACAAGGATTCTGCTAAAACTAACCACGAGAAAGTTCTGCCAAAATCTGTTTCCAAAATTAAGCCTGAATTAAGGATGAAGGAGAAATACATGCATGAACAGACTTCTGAAAACAGATTTACACATTACTTAAGTGTCAAGACTGCTTAAACCATAAAGGATTAGGCAATAATACAATCCAGATAATCTTTCTGTTTAAGGTAAGTCTTAACGTGGTCTGAATGCCAGATCACTAGTTGCTACCTCCTCAGCGATTTCTAGTGTATTGTACAGAGATCATGAACATTTGGAACAAAATAACATTTTGTTTGTTTGTTTTAAGAACACAGCCCTCACACCTGAAGTGTGAAGCCTTGCTTCCTCATACCAAAGTGTCAGAAGTGCAACAGGAAAAGACTGGTATCTTATAAATGTCAAATAAAAGTAAAAAATTTATTTCTGTAGCTTCTCCAATGAGTTTTAGACTAACATAAATTTCTGCTTTCCTTTCTCTTTATTACTCCCAAGTGAAAAATAGAAAAGAAGCAGGAACAACAACACACAAATCAGTCCAAAGAAACATTGCTTATGATAACCGCGTGAGCTGTATGTGTAAGTGCAATGGAGCTTGAGGCATGCCTACCAAACCAAACAAAAACACAAAAACAAATAATGTTTATAATTTTCAAAGTTCTTTATAGACATCAGCTAAACTAAATATTGTGTACAGCTGAAAACAGGCAAGAGCAGACTATGGAGCAGGCTCTCCTCCTCTCCTCCGCCACCAGTGGTGTGATTACATGGAAAAAATACCAGAGAGACTTCTGGACACCACCTTGCTCTCCCTTTCAGTTCCACACACTTCACAAAAGTACTACTAAAGTTGAGGTTGGCAAGACAGAAAGATTATGAAACGTCAGACTGCAGCAGTTCACAGTTCCCACTGGGATACACTTCACTCAGGTGAACTGGGAGACACAGAGATGAAGGCCAAATTCTTAGAATAAATGCATGGCTCGAGGCTTAGCAGTGGACATTGGAAGCAGATAGCAGCAGAAGGCATCAGGACATCCAGTAGATACTTCCTTGGCAAACTATTAATCTCCACGAAGATGCTAACAGATGTAGCAGAAGGTCTGTAAGTTACCTAAGACTTCCTGTAGAGTCAGACAGACAGAAATGAACATCTCATTGACATTATGGTCTCAGCTCTCCAGCTATAAAAAGAACATACGAATCCTAGAACACCGTTACTTAGGCACCTCAGAGTGGTGTGTATCAGGACCTTAGTGTCAATAGCTGTAAAAAGTTAGTTTGGGGTGTTATTCACTACAAGAATGAAGGACTATCATTCCGATTCAGCTCACTGATCCAAACAGTTGGCTATAATGTATCCAGGAATGGCCAAAACCAGCTCCATACATCCCATTACCCTTGTCACCCTTCTCCGTAATTTCTTAGTTTCACTCTTCTCTTTTTGAGATGGAGTGACAAGAATTTTACAAAATAGAATTCTTCAGTGCTTACAAATTACTGCAGATTTTCAGCTTTATTAAGATAGTACGCCATGTCCGCAACATGAGTGGAGCACTGCTGTGTGAGATAACGCCACAAGTGTTTGCTGTTATATGAAACTCAGACAGAATGCTGCCTTCCCTCAATCTCATGCTGTCCGTGCTGCCTCACCTCATCTCCTAACACAGAGGTTCAGCTGTAATCCAGGGAACAGAAGCAATACACTCCTCATACCACTCTAAGACCTTGATTTCATGGGAGAGAAAAGCACAAACCACTTCCAGTACTGCCTCTCCCTCCACTTTATTTCTGAAGCCATGATGTTTCTCCTGCCTATTACCCTTTACGGGAAGGAGAGGACTGCCAAAAAAACATCTGGAACCAGGGAGAGCAGACTCTACCGAATGCCAGTGGATTATGACCCAGGTTTCACTTATTCATGACTTCTCCTGGCAGACCACAGCAATGCAGCCTTACCCACCTCAGGGTGAAGAATGCTCCAGCACCTCCTTTGACTAACAGCAGCTTAGGAAGACATCAGATCTGCTGCAACTTCCTACCCTGGCTTTCTGTAAAACACTGAGTCACTCTTAAAATCTCTTATTTTCAAGGCACCCAACAACCTGGCCTTAGGACATTCAGAAGGACTACACAACTCTCTGGGATAAAGACTGTCATTAACAACTCCACCCTTCAATGAAACTTACATTTAACCAAGACAACCCTCCCTTCCCTGTACAGCAACCCCTTTCCTTTTTTTAAAAAAAAAATCAGTAACTGTGGAATAAAGTTTCACAGATGCTAAGAGCTATCACTGACTGCTCCGTTTTCCATTCCAGATAGAAGGCACATGGCTTTAATTTCTCATTTACATAAATACTGTATATCATCCATTTAAAAAAAATATGATAAAACTGTAAAATCAAAATGTCACCCTGTACACACATCTCTCTAGGGAAGAAATTACAAAGGGGATAAAAGACCCAATGTAACCAATGTCCACCATATATCCAACATACCATAAAAACTCTATCACATAAACCAATATGCTTGTCACTGACATTTAAAGTAACAGTTAGATAATGGCACTTTCTCAAGCAGATTTGCTCTCTGCAGGTGAAGAATATCCAGGTTTGAAATACTTACCTAATGTTAAAGATTTACTTATTCATCAAGAAGAATTCCAACCCTATGAAGAACTAAACATTTGAGTCAGGGTAGAGTATAACCCCTCCTTGTAAGTTAATTTGCAAGAATTCCAAGATACTTGGAAAGTAATAAAGAAAACTCACATTTCAAAAACTAAAACTGGCATTTTCTTCTCACCACAATTTTCTTACGCTATGACTTTTTATGCACTAAACAGAAACTTTAAGCAGGAGTACAGTTGGCACATGGAGTCTTTATTTGGCCTATGTAAGCATTAAACAGAGACTTCAGTACTCATTATCCACAATCCATACCAACAGCTGAGCTGTTTGCCTGTAACAGCCTTTGCAGCCCTTCCTGCAATTTAACTCCACTTTCTCTTCTCTCAAAACCAGCAGAGCTCAAGCCACTGGAGCTCTAGAAACAGGATAGACTCCAGCTTTGCTAACATTTTTACAGTCTCATCTTCTAATACAGTCAACTAATAAATCCTGTCTTTCCCAATCTCCCATAAGAAATACTTTACCAGATGCCCAAACACTCAACAACTAAGAGCAAAAGGGAATTTAAAACAAATCATGTGCTGCCACAGGGCAGATGGCATAAGAATGTCCAAAGTTTTTACAACTTTCTAATTTTCTTCTATTCGCATCCACAAATTCTAGCTCTTGATCTCCCTTCAGTCCAACAGTCTGCAGACAAGACAGATATACTGCATAAGAAACAAATGAATCACAGTCAGAGGAAATAAAAGGATCAATGGGGGGAAAAAAGGATGAAGCAAAAAGAATCCTAGATATCTCATCATTAAAAACATAAACAGCAGAGCTAGAAAAAAGATAAGAGAGAATGTTTCAGGAAAAAAGCTGAAAAGAACAGACAATTCTAAAAAGAAAAAACTAGATATGTTAAAATATTAAGAAATAAGTAGTCAGAAAATGTTCAAGCATTCAGATACCATAACATAGGCATTAAAGGATGTTTTAGTATTTTAAATGCCTATTTCTAGTTTTCCAGTGATTTGCAAACCCATAAGACAAAATTCCAAGCCTCTCCTACATACATGAGTAGAATTTTGTTATTTAAATGACAGCAGAGTAACACATACATAACTATGCTGAAATTTTAAGAAAATAAGAAAATCTCACAGCAAAAAGTCTAAAGAATTAGCAGCACAAGTGGAGACAGCTTAAGAAAATTATATTTATTGCTGTGTTTACTTTACCCGTGCACAAGTTGTACTTCACAACTAAAACCCAGAAAAGACTATTAAACTACATA